CCGGATTCTAGCGTTGTAAGTCCGCAGACATACCACTGTGCCACTGGGGGGTGACTGTTATCGAACGATATTCTTTATCATATCATATATAATCAAACTGCTGTGCTCATAATTAAAACGTATTTTTTTTCTGATTAAATTATAAAGAAAGAATAAGTGGAAATTTAATAAGATCGCATACATTAATATTTTTTGTTTGTTTGGAATTAATGGTTTGTTTTTGAATTTCGCGCAAAGCTACACGAGAGTTATCTGCGCTAGCCGTCCCTAATTTATCAGTGTAAGACAGCTAGTCATCATCACCCATCGCTAACTCTTGGGATACTCTTTTACCAACGAATAGTGGGATTGATCGCACATTATAACGCCAACACGGCTGAAAGGATGGGGATTCGAATCAATATTTTGATTATTGCCATAAAATATAAAGTAGAAAATATTCGTTAAGAATTCAAATTCGATGACGTGGAACCCACTTTGAGACTAATAATGCTTGGAGACGGCTTGAACGGGTAATGAAGAAAAACTTTAATATATATATAACATAACAGTACCTGATGATGACAAAACCTTGTCGAAACGTTGTACATTTGCTGTTATGTTAAACTAATATTAAAGTTTTTCTTCATTACCCATTCAAGCCGTCTCCATGTATTATTCGTTAAGAATATCAACATATGCTTCGAATCTTTCTGTAACCTGAACAAAGAAAAACATAATTAAAAGGTTGAAAGTTAAATGAGTTGAAGAACTTTCTAGACTAGTATAGAAGAAAATTGTGTGTGAGTGGGAATATCGCTATTTTTAAAGTTTGCAGACTTTTCCGATGCCGTTTAGAATAAAATTACCCAATAAACAGATATTTTGAAAACCATTTGTGAAATATAAAGAAAGATTAAAAAGTAAACTCTCGTTAAATGTGTTCAACCTGTGAATATCTTTCTTTTAATATACGATATATTTCAAAATCGAAGCCACCGTTATCTTCGATAACCAGTACAAATAGTATAGAAAAAAGAATGTTCATATAAGGGTACTAGAAACAGAGGATCTGCGAGAAACTTAAAGAGTTATAAAATAACCTCAAGGTATATTTAAGGAATCACTAATATAAGTAAAAGAGAAACATATATCTTATATGATATTCATTGTTTTGAAATCAAATCACCCATTAAGTGTGTTACATTTGCTGATTGATTTTGAATAAAATATTTTATTGTAAAATTTCTTAAATGTCTTATTGTATAATTTCTTAAATTAAGCCTTATGTTTACAAGGATTCGTAAATTTAATTAAAACATTGTTTGAGTCTGTTTGTAACTATAGTGAGAGACTTTAGATTAACCTTTATACTTAATATTGACCGTTCTTGGTTAGAGAAACTCTGGATTAAAGAGATAATAGCAGGGAAATTTATTTATTTTTTTTGGCAAAACGAAAGCTAACCCTAGGAAAAATAATTCACAATTATTTTTTTCTGAAATGCTTGATTATTTACTCAAAATTCAATGTAATCAATGTATACTCACTCCATTTTACATTTTAACAAAACAATATCTAAACACTAGATGTTAACATGTGTAGAAGTTTAAATACTTCAGTAAGTTTAAATAATAAAATAAATAAATAGAACATGAAATACGTATTTGTTGTGGATAATGTGCACGTTTTGTTTCTCTAAAATGTTTTTTTTTGGTGACAAGAGAATAGAATATTATTCTTGGAATATTTTTGAATGACGCTTTTTTCATCACGAAATACTTGTTTTGTTGAAGAGACATATTATTACAACTTTTCATTTTATTTTATTTATTTTAAACAAGTTTAGAATGATTAAACTATGCTTGCTATTGTTTTGGCAAAGAATGGACAGTTTTTAAATAGGACATATTAAAATACAAAATTGTTCAAAAGAGAGAGAGATTTAAAAAGATAAAAATTAAATTATTTGCAAACATGTGAAAAATATTTCATAATAAGCTCTTATCATCTCAGATCCTAGTACAGAATTTCGAGACCTTTAATGTTTAAGGAAAATAATACATTTTCGAATTTTTAGTTTTCAAATTGTCGAGAGTTTTATCAGGCACATGACCTACCAGTCAATTTAACACCATCTAAACGTATAAATATAGATATTATAAACTGGTTAATTTCATTTCAAAATCTCTGTATTATAGTTGGACCATGTATATGTATGGAAGGCCAAAGAAGACATGGCGAAGAACTTTTAAAGAGGACTTATCGTCAAGCAACTTACTTTTGAGAAATAGGCTGAAGAAAATCAGAAACAGACAAAAATCCAGATGTAAAAATAATTTTACTACTAATAATACCGTGCATTATATACACTCTGTTTTTAAATCAAACAGTTCACATTGAATATTAAAGTTAAAGCACTCAAAATTTTAAAGCACATCCACTGACTTCTTCACCTCCCTTTTCAAGAAGTAAATATCTTCAAACCTTCCGGCATGTTTTTGAGTGTTCAGTCCAGTTTTTAAACTGTAAAAATAAAAAAAAATACATTTATTTTTCAACACATTTCGTAGCGAAAGAGCTACGCTTCAGCTCAAATTTTGTTTGTATTATATGTGTGTGTGTGTGTGTGTAAAAACGTTTTTCTTAATCCGAATACTTTTTTTACTTATATTTTTACCTATGGTTTGTTTGTTTACACTTAAGCACAAAGCAACTCAATAAGGTATCTGTGCTCTGCCCACCACGGGCATCAAACCCGGTTTCTACCATTGTAAGTCCGCAGACATACCGCTGTGCTACTTGGGGGCTATTACCTTTGGAACTGTACTTTCAGAGTTATGTGTGCATATATTGTCTGGCTTGAAAAAGAGCGTTCGCTCAAAAGGTCCCCACGTAAATAAATTAGTAACATAGTTTTTGAAGGTGATTTTTCTCTAAAAGTTTATTTTTTCCTATATATAAACCTAGGTGTAAATCCAAAACAAACCATGACACATAATAAATTTGAAAAGAATGAGTAAAATAATTATTAATGCAATAATTAATAATTATTAATTCACTACGTGAATTACCATATTCTTCAGGATTGAATTCTTGAATAGATTTCTTTAGTTACAAAAGAGAGGTCTTGTTGGTTTACTACATTTAAAACTGTAGGTTATAACGATTTAATGGAAAATATTTCACCTTGAGTACTTCTACGGATTATAGATGGGGAAAAAATCATCATATACTTGATGTTTAAAATCCATCACAATATATTACTTTTCTCTCTTCTCTTTTATTTGAATGTTATCTATTGGAAAATGATCCCTTTTAACCTGAATTTAATTAAATCCAAAAAATAAGATCTTTAAAATATGAACGTTTTTTGAGTTCAGAATTTAATTACTTCCCGTTATATTGATGATTTAATTTATATTAATAATTTAAACTTGGATCCCGCTCAAATTAATCCAGAAAAACTTGTTCTGGAAAAAAGTAACAACGGTAGTCTCAGTGCGCATTATTCAGATTTATACATTATTTTCATAGAAGGCAGAGTGCAATTAGCCATTTTTGATAAAAGACAAAAATGTATGACTCCCATCCTTGGTCGACCTACCCGAAATAGCGTAGTTTCGTATGCCTGTAATAATAGTACTTCAATAATAAACGGTTACCAGATACAAGTTAATAGTTATAAAAGTTTAAGAAATTATTAAAGTTTTACATTATTTTATAATAAACACAGTAAATTATTAAAATATGAATGAACATATATTAAATGAAATGGTTATCTTTATTTCTATTTTGTGATTCAAGGAGGACGTTAGCGTTTGAAGGACTTCTGATTTCAATAAATACAAGCTTTAAAGGTCGTTTTGTTATTTGAAAGGAGGTTCGTTTAATTAACCGGGCCGGAAGGACCAACTTCAGGTAGCTGGGCTTGTCTCAGCTTGCCCGGTTAATATATGAATAATCGTTGACAAGGGAAGAGAATGGGTTTACAGTTATAACTGAATTATTTAGTAATCGTTGACAAGGGAAGAGAATGGGTTTACAGTTATAACTGAATTATTTAGTAATCGTTGACAAGGGAAGAGAATGGGTTTACAGTTATAACTGAATTATTTAGGTAAGGCTTCATAGCTCTTGCTACTTCTTAATTATTGTATAGAGGGTGGAGGTTGGGTGTCTAACGAGGTCAGAAATTAAGGGTGGATCTTAACAACAATATTTCTATATGATGTTACTGTTAAAATATGCTGCAGACGGCGAATGATAGTAAGTGTTAGAATATTGTGGGATAAAGTACCCATTACCTAATCCCTGCGTGATAAGGCAGCAGATATTTTTCTTAAAGTTATACTTTCATACCTTGATAACAAATGGAATGATTACTAATTGTTTTGTATAAATGTTCATTTATTAAGTTCGTAAAGTTCAGATTTCTTTTAGATTTCTTCAGATTTCATTATCATATAGTGCTGATTTTAATAATGTATACAAGTAATACAATTTGTACTCTTGGAAAAATTTTATTTATTTGAGAAATACATATGGGAGGGCAACGTTTCACGTTGACTTTTTTTTTTTTAATCTCGGAAATATATATATATATATATATTTAATACAAGACCTTCTTATTTATTTCAGCAATATCTTTTGTTTTAACCTGATAAAAGCTAATTTCACTGATAAATTGTAACATCTCCCACTCGTATGGGGAATACATAATCTACCAAAAAAGTATCATTCCATAGAAATAATCTTACAATTAGGAGAATGCAGAAGTAAACTTAGTTGTAACTTCAACTTGTTCACGGAAGGGGGCGTCATTACAAAACGTTAGAACTAGCCCTTTTCACTTAATAAAACTAGGTTGGAAGGGAAAAAAATGCTTGTAATCAAGCACAAAGTTGCACAATGGGCTATATGTGCTCTGCCTACCGCGGGTATCAAAACCAGAATTTTCTGCTAGCTGTGAGACTTAACGCTAAGTAACCGGAGAGGAAAAAAACACTTATTTCCATCTCGGTAATTCTGATTTTAATATGAATCAGAAATTTGTTAAAGAGGATTGAGAAAAGCTAGAAAAAAAGCCCAAAAGAAACCTATATACCAAAATTTTAATACGTTTAACAATTTGTAGAAAAGAACTGGTTAATAGATACATAACTTCTTGTACGAATGAGCCAGTGAAAATGGAGGGTTTCAACGTTTTACGTAATTTTTTATCTTTCCTTATTGGTGATCTATTTTCGAATAAGTAATTTTCTACTTTCAATTGAATCCACCAGACCAGTACTTGTTTAGATGTATACAGAGAAACATCTTGCGTTATTTGCTATTTTCTTGCAATAACTACTAAATATTCTAAAATTTAGTAACGTGTATATTTTTTTTCTGAGTCAATTTTAATCCACACTTCCATAAAATTTAAAAAAAAACGATAAATACAAAAACTTCTATGAACTGGAAGTCCCAGGAGGACAACGGTAATCTACGGACTTACGACGCTAAAATCGGGGGCTCGATTCCCAGATAGCCCACTGCGACTTTGCTCTAAAACAAACAAATGAACTGGAAAAGCTGTAGCCTATTTTTATATTGTATAATCGCTAATTTTAATTCGGTAAGGCTTAGAGATTAGGGTCGAGAGCTCGAATCCCTGTAACTAAACACGCTCGCCCCTTTTAGTCGTGTGTGGGGGGGGTGTTATAATATGGCGGTTAATCTAACTATTCGTTGGGAAAAGATTAGACCAGGAATTGGTGGTAGGTGGTGATGACTAGCTGCCTTCATTCAAGTTTGTCACAAGTAAATTAGGGATGGCTAGCGCAGAGAGCCCTCGAATAGCTTTGCGCGAAATTCGAAACAAAACAAACTTTTTCAGTAAATACAGATTCCGCGAAAAGATATTTATATTAATGCAATATATTCTAAGTATAATAATATAT